AAATGCTGTAAAGAGTTTTTATGAGGATAGTGAGGCTCAGGTTAGGGTGTGTAGAAGAGAGGGAGACTACTTCCCGGTAAAAGTAGGTCTTAGACAGGGATGTGTAATGTCACCATGGTTGTTTAATATATTTATAGATGGGGTTGTAAAGGAAGTAAATGCTAGGGTGTTCGGGAGAGGGGTGGGATTAAATTATGGGGAATTAAATACAAAATGGGAAGTGACAGTTACTTTTTGCTGATGATACTGTGCTTATGGGAGATTCTAAAGGAAAATTGCCATGGTTAGTGGACGAATTTGGGAGTGTGTTTAAAGGTAGAAAGTTGAAAGTGAACATAGAAAAGAGTAAGGTGATGAAAGTATCAAATCATTTAGATAAAAAAAAAAATGCATATCAAATTGGGGAGGAGGAGTATGGAAGAAGTGAAGGTTTTTAGATATTTGGGAGTTGACGTGCCAGCGGATGGATTTATGAAGGATGAGGTTAATCATAGAATTGATGGAGAAAAGGTGAGTGGTGCATTGAGGCATATGTGGAGGCAAAAAATGTTATCTATGGAGGCAAAGAAGGGAATGTATGAAAGTATTGTAGTACCAACACTCTTATATGGGTGTGAAGCTTGGGTTGTAAATACTGCAGTGAGGAGGCGGTTGGAGGCAGTGGAGATGTCCTGTCTAAGGGTAATGTGTGGTGTAAATATTATGCAGAGAAATTCAGAGTGTGGAAATTAGGTGTGGAGTAAATAAAAGTATTAGTCAGAAGGCTGAAGAGGGTTGTTGAGGTGGTTTGGTCATTTAGAGAGAATGGATCAGAGTAGAATGACATGGAGAGTGTATAAATCTGTAGGGGAAGGAAGGTGGGGTAGGGGTCGTCCTTGATTAGGTTGGAGGGAGGGGGTAAAGGAGGTTTTGTGTGCAAGGGGTTTGGACTTCCAGCAAGCATGTGTGACAAATAACCTGCACATAGAAGAGAGGAGCTTACGACGATGTTTCGGTCCGACTTGGACCATTTACAAAGTCACACTAACCAGAAGTGGAGCAGGACGGCTATATATAGGCAGGAAGAGGTAGTGGTGGTAGTAGTGGGGAACTAAGGAGGAGGAGCCAGTCAAATATAAAGAAAGGGGAGCACTGCAAGGGAGCCAAGTGCCCATAGAGGGAGAGCAAGTGCACAGAGGTGGGGGGAAGAGGAAGTGATGAAATAAATAATGAAGGAACAGAAACTAAACTACAGAATAAACTTCAACATCTCATCTCAGCTAGCCCTTGGTCTAAATTCTCCCTCACTGACTGTGTTACTAACTTGTCTTCTGTCTCACTCTCTCAGTATGAGCTGAACTTCTTGGTTTTGGCCTTTCCTTTGCCACTTCGCCTACTCCTTGCGCTGGTATTTCCCTGATTAGCTCTTTTGATTCCTTTCGTCAATCTCGCTCCTGTAATCTTCCTGACTTGTCCACTTTTCTTGGCGCTCTCCTTCCTGCTCTTGTTAGTCTGTTTTCTAAGAATCACCACTTTCCACGCCATTACCAACTTGCCCTTTCTTCTCTTAAATCTAACACTAACATTGTCATACTATCTTCTGACAAAGGTAATTCGGTAGTTATCCTTGATCGCGAGGATTACCTCCGTAAAGCTGATGTCTTGCTCTCTGACTTGCGTACCTACACTCCTCTCGTTTCCAACCCTCTTGATCGCATCAAGAGAACTTTCAACAAGAAACTAAGGACTCTCCCCGACCTCTGTCCTCCTGACTTTGACCTTGTTCAACGGTTTCGTGTCATCTGTCCCTCTCTTCCCTATTTCTATGGCCTTCCCAAAACTCATGAACCTGATATTCCTCTTCGTCCTATCATATCCTCTAGAGGTTCTGTCTCTTATTCTCTTGCTTCTTGGTTGGCCAAAACCCTCTCTCCCTTTCTTGGTACTTTTTCTCCTGCCCACCTCCGTCACTCTCAAGACTTCATTAAACGGGTTTGCTCTCTCCCAACCTGTAAGATGCTTAGTCTTGACGTTGAGTCCCTCTTCACCAATGTCCCTCTTGATGATGTCCTTGATTTCCTTAGAGAGAAGGCCCTTGAAGGGTTTCTACATCTCCCTATACCTATTGAAGTCTTTCTTGATCTTATCCGCCTCTGTGTGGACTCTAACTCCTTTTCCCTCCAAGGGAAATGTTATTCTCAAACCTTCGGTGTTGCTATGGGCTCTCCTCTCTCTCCTGTCCTTGCTAATCTTTACATGGAATACTTCGAGACTGTTCTTCCTACCATCGATGTGCAACCTTCTCTCTGGCTCCGCTATGTGGATGACATCTTTGCTCTGTGGCCTCATGACTCCAATTTCTTCCAACCTTTTCTTGAAGCTCTTAATAATCTTGCCCCTTCCATTAAGTTTAAAGCTGAATGGGAATCTAATTCCTTGCTTCCTTTCCTTGATGTCCATGTCCACCGCTCAGATACAGGTTTTTCCTTTTCCGTTTACCGAAAACCTATGCACAGTGGCACGTACATTCACTACTTTTGCTATCATGCTTCCCCTGTCAAGAAAAGTGTTCTTATCTCCCTCTTTCTCTGTGCCCTCTGCATCTGTGATCCTCAGTTCCTTCCAGCAGAAATTTTCACTCTTCATAATTCGTTTTCCCGTCTTGGCTACCCTTCCCATTTCATACACTCTGCCTTCTCACGAGCTAAACGTAATTTCTTCTCCCAAACTCCCTACTCCTGGGAACTCTTCTGTCCTCTGCCTTCCCTACATTTCCGGTCTTTCTAATCTCAACAATTCTCTCCGTCCCTTAGACATCAAGCTTACTTTCCGCCAGACTAACACTCTTCACACTAATCTCGTTCATACCTCTCCTCCCTCTACAGATGTTCCTGGTGTCTAATCTATTTCTTGCTCCTCCTGTCCTCTTCAATACTTTGGAGAAACTGGCCGATCTCTTTCTGACAGACTTAGGGAGCACAAAAATAGTGTTAGGCTTGCCGACACTAACAATGCTCTTTTCTGTCACGTCAGAGATCACAGCCATCCTATAGACTGGTCTTCTGCTAAAACTGTCTTCCCTACTTCCAACTTTAACAGTCGCCGTCTAGTTGAATCCTCTCTAATACACAACTTTCCTTGCATGAATCTTAGTCCTGGCTTCATCTCTGTAGATGCCTTCCTCTCCCACTACATTGCAAAATGCTCCAAACTTCAGGACACCCGTGACTTAACCTGATTCCTCATTTTTCTTCTTCTCCCTCTTCCCCTTTCTTCTTTCCTTTTTTTGTCTTTCTTCTGTCGCGTGTTTCTGTTCCTTCATTATTTATTTCATCACTTCCCCTTCCCCCCACCTCTGTGCACTTGCTCTCCCTCTGTGGGCACTTAGCTCCCTTGCAGTGCTCCCCTTTCTTTATATTTGACTGGCTCCTCCTCCTTAGTTCCCTCCTCCTCCTCCTCCTCCTCCTGCTGCTACTGCTGCCGCCGCCGCCGCCTACATAGCCGTCCTGCTCCACTTTTGGTTAGTGTGACTTTGTAAATGGTCCAAGTCGGACCAAAACGTCGTTGTAAGCTCCTCTCTTCTATGTGCGGGTTATTTGTGTATCGTTCCAGTCACGGTATTGTGCCTTTTTTTGTTATTTAAGCATGTGTGAGCATGTTAGATAGGAGTGAATGGAGACGAATGGTATTTGGGAACTGACGAGGTGTTGGGATGTGAGCAGGGTAATGTTTAGTGAAGGGATTCAGGGAAACCGGTTATTTTATATAACCGGACTTGAGTTCTGGAAATGGGAAGTACAATGCCTGCACTCTTAAGGAGGGGTTTGGGATATTGGCAGTTTGGAGGGATATATTGTGTATTTTTATACGTGTATATTTCTAAACTGTTGTATTCTGGGCACCTCTGCAAAAACAGTGATTGTGAGAGGTGAAAGTGTTGAATGATGAAAGTATTTTCTTTTTGGGGATTTTCTTTTTTGGGTCACCCTGCCTCGGTGGAAGAGGGCCAACTTGTTGGAAAAAAAAAAAAAGCAGTGTACTGTATATTGTAATAAAGAGAATAGAGGAAATCAGTTCTAATATTTATAGACAAAATCCACTGGTTAAATGTGCTTCTTAATTTTTATATATGTATAAAAAAAACTCTCGATACCATAGGATGTATTGTCAAGCTTGTTGATCTGGAAATGTTTGGTGATGGTTGATGTGGTTTTACTAGTTGGATGTATCGAGGTTTATATAGTAATAGAATACAGTACCTGTAGCCAAAGAAAAGTTACATAAACCTGCTCTATCTTAAATTCTGATTGCTTGTTGAAACAGGAATGTTGTCAGTAGTGAAACAAACTACCAAGTTGTCATTGAAGTTAACACCTTATGTAGTTTGAAAAATAGGTTGATCAAATATGCAAGTGAGAAGGATTATTCTTCCTGCCTAGCATGGGTCAGTAGGTTTGCTGTAGTGCTTTCCTGCATTTATGTTCTTATTTAGGAAAGCAATGGTTTAGCAGTAGTTGCATATGACTGGCTGAGAGTAGGTGTGTAGAGTATGGGCCAGTAGGCCTGCATTGCTGTGTAGGAAAGCAGAGCTAGATTTGTCAAGGTCCTAGTCTGTCAAAAATCTGCATATTTACTTGTATCATGGAGCACCTCAGAAATATTTTCAGCCAATTTGTCAAGGGAAATTTCCCATGTACTTATTTTTCAAAGCTTTATGGCATGATCTCACACTCCCATGCTGTCAGGACTGGGATCAGTATTTCAATTGTTTTATTACAAGCACAAAGTGGAATAAGTGAGATACTACTATGTATATATAGTCTAAATTGTTAGCTGATTTAATTTCAAATACTGTGTACTGAAGTAGATCCTGTGTGTGTGTTGGTTGTCATCCATCTATGCATTGCCTTGTTCATTATTTTCTTTTTCATTTATGGCATTAGGATTATTTCTTGAAAGTACATTGCCGCTGCACAGTGTTTTGTTCTATATGTTTACATTTTCTTTAAACTCTTCTTTAGATCAGCAAACAACAGTTGGTGTGCGAGTTGGAAGGAACACAATCAAAACTAGAGACTGAAAAGCAGCTACTGGAGGAGCAGATCTTAAGAGACAGAAAAAATAATAAGTCTCTCGACTTGTCTCTTCCATCAACAGGATTTCCAAACTCTCAGTTATTGAAAGAGGTGAGAGCAGTTTTTTTTAATGTAAAACTGCATTTAGAGAACTAATAGCATAATTTGGAAATGTATTGTTCAGTATATTTGCCTGGAGTTTACCTGGAGAGAGTTCCGGGGGTCAACGCCCCCGCGGCCCGGTCTGAGACCAGGCCTCCTGGTGGATCAGAGCCTGATCAACCAGGCTGTTGCTGCTGGCTGCACGCAAACCAACACACGAGCCACAGCCCGGCTGATCCGGAACTGACTTTAGGTGCTTGTCCAGTGCCAGCTTGAAGACTGCCAGGGGTCTGTTGGTAATCCCCCTTATGTGTGCTGGGAGGCAGTTGAACAGTCTCGGGCCCCTGACACTTATTGTATGGTCTCTTAACGTGCTAGTGACACCCCTGCTTTTCATTGGGGGATGGTGCATCGTCTGCCAAGTCTTTTGCTTTCGTAGTGGGTGATTTTCGTGTGCAAGTTCGTACTAGTCCCTCTAGGATTTTCCAGGTGTATATAATCATGTATCTCTCCCTCCTGCGTTCCAGGGAATACAGGTTTAGGAACCTCAAGCGCTCCCAATAATTGAGGTGTTTTATCTCCGTTATGCGCGCCGTGAAAGTTCTCTGTACATTTTCTAGGTCGGCAATTTCACCTGCCTTGAAAGGTGCTGTTAGTGTGCAGCAATATTCCAGCCTAGATAGAACAAGTGACCTGAAGAGTGTCATCATGGGCTTGGCCTCCCTAGTTTTGAAGGTTCTCATTATCCATCCTGTCATTTTTCTAGCAGATGTGATTGATACAATGTTATGGTCCTTGAAGGTGAGATCCTCCGACATGATCACTCCCAGGTCTTTGACGTTGGTGTTTTCGCTCTATTTTGTGGCCAGAATTTGTTTTGTACTCTGATGAAGATTTAATTTCCTCATGTTTACCATATCTGAGTAATTGAAATTTCTCATCGTTGAACTTCATATTGTTTTCTGCAGCCCACTGAAAGATTTGGTTGATGTCTGCCTGGAGCTTTGCAGTGTCTGCAATGGAAGACACTGTCATGCAGATTCGGGTGTCATCTGCAAAGGAAGACACGTGCTGTGGCTGACATCCTTGTCTATGTCGATATAAGGATGAGGAACAAGATGGGAGCGAGTACTGTGCCTTGTGGAACAGAGCTTTTCACCGTAGCTGCCTCGGACTTTACTCTGTTGACGACTACTCTCTGTGTTCTGTTAGTGAGGAAATTATAGATCCATCGACCGACTTTTCCTGTTATTCCTTTAGCACGCATTTTGTGCGCTATTACGCCATGGTCACACTTGTCGAAGGCTTTTGCAAAGTCTGTATATATTACATCTGCATTCTTTTTGTCTTCTAGTGCATTTAGGACCTTGTCGTAGTGGTCCAATAGTTGAGACAGACAGGAGCGACCTGTTCTAAACCCATGTTGCCCTGGTTGTGTAACTGATGGGTTTCTAGATGCGTGGTGATCTTGCTTCTTAGGACCCTTTCAAAGATTTTTATGATATGGGATGTTAGTGCTATTGGTCTGTAGTTCTTTGCTATTGCTTTACTGCCCCCTTTGTGGAGTGGGGCTATGTCTGTTGTTTTTAGTAACTGAGGGACGACCCCCGTGTCCATGCTCCCTCTCATAGATGGAAAAGGCTCGTGATAGGGGCTTCTTGCAGTTCTTGATGAACACAGAGTTCCATGAGTCTGGCCCTGGGGCAGAGTGCATGGGCATGTCATTTATCGCCTGTTCGAAGTCATTTGGAGTCAGGATAACATCGGATAGGCTTGTGTTAATCAAATTTTGTGGCTCTCTCATAAAAAAATTCATTTTGATCTTCGACTCTCAGTCTGGTTAGCGGCTTGCTAAAAACTGAGTCATATTGGGACTTGAGTAGCTCACTCATTTCCTTGTTGTCATCTGTGTAGGACCCATCTTGTTTAAGTAGGGGCCAATACTGGACGTTGTTCTCGATTTTGATTTGGCATAGGAGAAGAAATACTTTGGGTTTCTTTCGATTTCATTTATGGCTTTTAGTTCTTCCCGCGATTCCTGACTCCTAAAGGATTCTTTTAGCTTAAGTTCGATGCTTGCTATTTCTCTGACCAGTGTCTCCCTACGCATTTCAGATATATTGACCTCTTTTAGCCGCTCTGTTATTCTTTTCCGTCGCCTGTAAAGGGAGCGCCTGTCTCTTTCTGTTTTACATCTACTCCTCCTTTTTCTTAGAGGAATAAGCCTTGTGCATACATCGAGTGCTACCGAGTTAATCTGTTCTAGGCATAAGTTGGGGTCTGTGTTGCTTAGTATATCTTCCCAGCTTATATCGGTTAGGACTTGGTTTACTTGGTCCCACTTTATGTTTTTGTTATTGAAGTTGAATTTGGTGAATGCTCCCTCGTGACTAATCTCATTATGGCGGTCTGGGGCTCCGCGCATACATGACTGAACCTCAATTATGTTGTGATCTGAGTATATTGTTTTTGATATGGTGATATTTCTTATCAGATCATCATTGTTAGTGAAGATGAGGTCTAGTGTATTCTCCAGTCTAGTAGGCTCTATTATTTGCTGGTTTAAATTGAATTTTGTGCAGAGATTTAAAAGCTCGCGTGAGTGTGAGTTTTCATCAGAGCTGCCTCCTGGTATTATTACTGCAACAATATTATTTGCTATATTCCTCCATTTTAGGTGCCTTAAGTTGAAATCCCCCAGGAGCAAGATGTTGGGTGCAGGAGCTGGAAGGTTTTCCAGACAGTGGTCAATTTTTAACAGCTGTTCCTGGAATTGCTGGGATGTTGCATCCGGAGGCTTGTAGACTATCACAATGACTAGGTTTTGGTTCTCGACCTTTACTGCTAAAACTTCCACTACATCATTTGAGGCATTTAGCAGTTCTGTGCAAACAAGTGACTCTGCAATGTACAGGCCAACCCCCCCTTTTTGCCTGTTCACTCTGTCACATCTGTATAGGTTGTAACCTGGGATCCATATTTCGTTGTCCAAGTGATCCTTTATGTGGGTCTCAGTGAAAGCCGCGAACATTGCCTTTGCCTCTGCAAGCAGTCCACGGATGAAAGGTATTTTGTTGTTGCTGGCTTTAGACCCTGTATATTTGCAAAGAAGAATGTTATCGGACTGGTGGTATTGTTGGTACTGGGGGGGGATTTTTTTTCCGGCATTAGTATCTGTATCTGTTGGTTTGGAGTGGAGGCCATCGACAGTCTTCGATGACACTGACTTTTTTGGGTTATCCTGGGTGGCAAATCCTCTGGGGTTAATTGTTTCTTGGTATTCTCAATAAGCCACACCAACAACGGTGCTGCAGCAGCAGCTGACAGTGCAGCAACAGCAGCAGCAGCTGTACCACCAATAGTAGCGATGGTTGATTGGGGTTTATTATACAACCTGGCCAGCTCGGAGACATGCACTCCACTTTCATACTTATCAATGATCTTTTTCTTCATCTCTATTGTAATTCTCACCCTTATTGCTGTAGGGTTGGCACTAGAAGCTTTCTTGGGGCCCATGGTCACTTATTTTCCAGAAAAAGCACCGAAAACACTGTAATAATACGAAATATTCCGATTGTATGCTTGGATGTTACCGCAGAGGCTGGCTGGTAAACAATGCCACCGGCGGAACATGTGAGCGCGTCTCGGACGAAAATCGGTAAGCGGGTTTTTAAGCGGTATGTGAGGCAAAATTTTTGCAATTAAAGTAAGCGGTATGCGAAATAATCGCTATGTGATGCCATCGTTATGCGGGGGTCCACTGTATATATCTATGCTAAAATAATGAATTATACGTAACATTTGCAATAATAAATTACAATCAACTCCTTATGACGCTCCGTGTCTCTCACGACACTTATCCGTGGTGTGGTGTGACGCTCCCTCTCAACTGTGTCACTTGACACCCTTTCTTCTGTGTAATGACGCTCCTGCTCAACCGTGTCCACTAGACACCCTTTTCTGTGTCGCACAACACTCCTACTCTCCGTGTCACACGACACCCTTTTCTCTGCGTCATACACAATATCTCTACTGTGTCACTCTTGACACCCTTGTCTCTGCGTCGCACACTATCACCCACAGCGTCTTTCTTAAAGCCAGTCACATGATACTATTCAATGTACACTACAACCTGACCATCTTCAGTGTCACACGACACCCTTTTCTTCTCAGTGTTCCACTACGGTCCTGTAGCATATCTCAGTGTTCCACTCCATCATACTTCCCTAAGTGTCACACTACGGTCCTAGCTCAGTTCAGTGTAACACTCCAACCTTTTCTTCATGTAGTGTCCCACTAAAACAGCATCAGTTGACTCCGGCCCACAGTTGACCAGCGTAGGCGGTGAACCGCAGACATCACCGGTAGTCCTGTAAATACTCTCCAAAGCCGGTTGACACACCGCAAGGTGGTCCAGTTAATCCTGCTTGCCAAACACCATGCTGCAAGCTCACTGAATGCGGCAGTCAAATAAATGAGGCCAACAGACTCAGTGAGCTGCGGTGAGCGCTTCCTCTAACGCCAGTAGAAGTCAGTAGAATACTCTCTACTGCCAGTAGATGTGTACCATTAGGTGTTCTGGTAACTACTGCTTCGATGCGTACCGTGAGGTGTTCAGGTACCTACTGCTGCTAAGGCCAGTAGATGTGTACCGTGAGGTATTCAGGTACTTACTGCTTCTAAAGCCAGTAGATGTGTACGATTAGGTGTTCAGGTACCTACTGCTTAGATGCGTACCATGAGGTGTTCAGGTCCATAATGCTGCAGTGCGTACCGTGAGGTGTTCAGGTACTTACTGCTTAGATGTGTACCGTTAGGTGTTCAGGTACTTAATGCTTCTAAAGCCAGTAGATGTGTACAATTAGGTGTTCAGGTACCTACTGCTTAGATGCGTACCGTGAGGTGGTCAGGTACTTATTGCTCTAAGGCCGGCTCAGCAGTCCCCACAATGAGTTTGATGACGTACCATGTGGTACTGCCGGCCGGCAGGTTAACTATTTAACCGCTAGTTTGGCAGGGGCCGTAACAAGCACCGTCAGCTGCTGCTGCTGCTGTACCACCGTCAGCTGCTGCTGCTGCTGTACCACCGTCAGCTGCTGCTGCTGTAGTACCGTCTGCTGTTGCTGTAGCACTGTCAGCTGCTGCTGCTGCTGCTGCTGTAGCACCGTTGTTGGTGTGGCTTATTGAGAATACCAAGAAGCAATTAACCTCAGAGGGTTAGCCACCCAGGATAACCCAAAAAAGTCAGTGTCATCAAAGACTGTCTAACTTATTTCCATTGGGGTCCTTAATCTTGTCTCCCAGGATGCAACCCACACCAGTCGACTAACACCCAGGTGAACAGGGAAAAATGCCTGGAACTAGTGTTCATATTGGTGAATTTATAGCCAGCAAAGGTTGGTTTGAGAGATTTAAGAATCGTAGTGGCATACACAGTGTGATAAGGCATGTTCTGGAAGAAAATGCCAAACAGGACCTACAGTACTCAGGAGGAAAAGGCATTCCCAGGACACAGTGTCTCATCAGTCATTGCTGCATCTTCAATAAAGGTAAGTGTCATTTATTCTTCATTTAGTAGAGTAGTATATGCACAATATATATTGAGTAGTACATGCACAATATATATTGTGCATGTACTACTCTACTATTGTGCGTGTATTCTTCTCTTTGTGTGTAGGAAAATGTATATTTCATGTGGTAAAATTTTTTTTTTCATACTTTTGGGTGTCTTGCACAGATTAATTTGATTTCCATTATTTCTTATGGGGAAAATTCATTCGCATAACGATAATTTCGCATAACAATGAGCTCTCAGGAACGGATTAATATAATTATGCGGGGCTCCACTGTATCTGAAAACATTCACTTCTTCCATACTCTTCCTCCCCAATTTGATATCCAATTTTTCTTTATCTAAATCATTTGATACCCTCATCACCTTACTCTTTTCTATGTTCACTTTCAACTTTCTACTTTTACAAACCTTCTGAAACTCGTCCACTAATATTTGCAGCTTTTCTTTAGAATCTCCCATAAGCACAGTATCATCAACAGAAAGTAACTGTCCACTACCACTTTGTATTTGATTTCCCATAATTTATTCCCACCCCTCTCCCGAACACCTTAGCATTTACTTCTTTTACAACCCCATCTATAAATATGTTAAACAACCATGATGACATTATACATCCCTGTCTAAGATCTACTCTTACTTCGGTCCAAGTCAGATCAAAATGTCGTCATTAGCTCCCCTCCCCTGTGTACGGGTTATTTGTGTATAAACTCCCTCTTACCCTAACCTGAGCCTCACTATCCTCATAAAAACTCTTTACAGCCTTCAGTAACTTATTACCTATTCCACACACTTGCAACATCTGCCACATTGCTCCCCTATCCACCCTATGAGGACACGTAAGTGGTTAATTAATGAAAATTATAATAACGTAATATACTCCAGAGCGAATTATTATTATTATTGTGTCTTCACACTAATGAGACACTCTTAGCTACTCCCTTGCCTGGTGTAGCTACTCTTACTTTGTAAGAATGTCAGATAGTGATTTTAATGCACCTGCATGCCAGCATGGTGTGTATGTAAATTTATTTAGGCAAGTACAGTTTCAGTAATATCTTGGTATCATCGCAGCCGTAGACATACCTTGCTCACTGAGTTTAATTAAGAGCCTTATGACTCCAACACTTTTTTTTTTTTTTCACAACTATACTTAGATGCCATTGTAACACAAAAAGAGTACAGTACAGTGGACCCTCGCCTAACGAACGCATCGCATAACGTTAAATCCGCCTAGCAATACATTTTAACATAAAAAATTTGCCTCAGCTAGCGCTAAAAAACTCTCAACGCAATTCGTTCGAGACGCGTCCACGTGCGGCCTGAGCCCGCCTCACTTGTTCCGTGGGTGCCAGTGTTTACAAGTCAGCCACCGCAGTCGCTTCCAAGCATACAATCGGAACATTTCATATTATCACAGCCTTTTTAGTGATTGCACCTGCAAAATAAGTCACCATGGGCCCCAAGAAAGCTTCTAGTGCCAACCCTACAGCAAGAAGAGTGAGAATTACTATGGATATGAAGAAAGAGATCATTGCTAAGTATGAAAGTGGAGTGCATGTCTCCGAGCTGGCCAGGTTGTACACAAAACCACAATCAACCATCGCTACTATTGTGGCCAAGAAAACGGCAATCAAGGAAGCTGTTCTTGCCAAAGGTGCAACTTTGTTTTCGAAACAGATCGCAAGTGATAGAAGATGTTGAGAGAGTGTTATTGGTGTGAATAAACGAAAAACAGATAGCAGGAGATAGCATCTCTCAAGCGATCATATGTGAAAAGGCTAGGAAGTTGCATGACAATTTTATTAGAAAAATGCCAGCAACTAGTGATGTGAGTGAATTTAAGGCCAGCAAAGGTTGGTTTGAGAGATTTAAGAATCGTAGTGGCATTCATAGTGTGATAAGGCATGGTGAGGCTGCCAGTTCAGACCAAAAAGCAGCTGAAAAATATGTGCAGGAATTCAAGGAGTACATACAGTGAAGGACTGAAGCCTGAACAAGTGTTTGTGATGAAACAGGCCTGTTTTGGAAGAAAATGCCAAGCAGGACCTACATTACTCAGGAGGAAAAGGCACTCTCAGGACATAAGCCTATGAAAGACAGGCTTACTCTGTTGTGTGCCAATGCTAGTGGTGATTGCAAAGTGAAGCCTTTATTGGTGTATCACTCTGAAACTCCCAGAGTGTTCAGGAAAAACAATGCCCTCAAGGCTAATTTGTGTGTGCTGTGGAGGGCAAACAGTAAGGCATGGGTCACTAGGGGCTTTTTCTATGACTGGTTACACCATGCATTTTCCCCCACTGTGAAAAATTACCTAATTGAGAAGAAATTAGACCTTAAGTGCTTCCTGGTATTAGACAATGCTCCTGGTCATCCTTCAGACGTGATAGAGTGACTTTCTGCGGAAATGAGCTTCATTAAGGTCAAGTTTTTGCCTCCTAATACCACTCCTCTCCTGCAGCCCATGGACCAGCAGGTCATTTCCAACTTCAAGAAACTGTACACAAAAGCTATGTTTGAAAGGTGCTTTGTAGTGACCTCAGAAACTCAATTGACTCTAAGAGTTTTGGAGAGATCACTTTAGCATCCTCAATTGTGTAAACATTATAGGTAAGGCTTGGGAGGAAGTGACTAAGAGGACCTTGAACTCTGCTTGGAAGAAACTGTGGCCAGAATGTGTAGACAAAAGGGATTTTGAAGGGTTTGAGACTAACCCTGGGAATCCTATGCCAGTTGAGGAATCCATTGTGGCATTGGGGAAGTCCTTGGGGTTGGAGGTTAGTGGGGAGGATGTGGAGTTGGTGGAGGAGGACAATGAAGAACTAACCACTGATGAGCTGCTAGATCATCTTCAACAGCAAGAGGCCACACCTGAGGAAACTGCTTCGGAGGAGGGGATAGAGAAATTGAGGAAGTTGCCTACTTCAAAGATTAATGAAATGTGTGCAGTGTGGCTTAAAGTGCAAACCTTTTTTGATGAAAATCACCCTCACACAGCTATTGCAAGCCGTGCTGGTGACTATTACACTAACAATGTTGTGAAACACTTCAGGAATGTCATAAAGGAACGGGAGGTGCAGGCCTCTATGGACAGACATGTTGTGTGACACAGGTCCAGTGACTCTCAAGCTGGTCCTAGTGGCATTTAAAAGAAGGGAAGTAACCCCGGAAAAGGACTTGCCACCTCAAGTCCTAATGGAACAGGATTCCCCTTCTAAACACTAACACCATCAACACTCCCCTCCTCCCATCCCATCAATCATCACCAGATCTTCAATAAAGGTGTCATGTAACTGTGCATGTCTTCTTCAGTTTGTGTGTATTAAAATTAATATATCATGTGGTAAAAATTTTTTTTTGTTCATACTTTGGGGTGTCAGGAACGGATTAATTTGATTTCCATTATTTCTTATGGGGAAAATTAATTCGCCTAACAATAATTTCGCCTAACGTTGAGCTCTCAGGAACGGGTTAATAGCGTTAGGCGAGGGTCCACTGTATATATAAAATATGCAGTAACTCAAAAGACTTGAAACTTTGGAAAGTTTCTAGACTGAATCAAGAGAAGCAGAGTTCACTGAAGATGTAAACAGAGTGGACGGGTAGTGCCCGGACGCCATAATAGTGAATGAGCTGTATAAATGAATTTTTGGGTATAATTTGAGATGTCTGTATTAGCAAATTGCTGTAAAGCAGGGCCCTTCTGTTGTAACAATTTTTCGCATATGCTGTGTAGTGTAAATATAATTTTGATGGCCCTCTTTTATACTCGTTACTTCCTTTTTTTTCAGGTGCAAGCAGTGTTCAATGAGTCTGTTCAGGAAATAAGAAAGGACTTTACCCAAGTCTATCCTCCCATGCTCAGATTTCAGATAAAAGAAGCCAATGAAATTTGCAAGAAGCTGAAGAACCCATATGTAAGTACTCCCCATTTCTCTAAAAAAACAATAAACCCACTGTTCCGTTAGTAATTCTAGGAATTTCTTCCCTACAGCATGGTCTCAGACCAAGCCTCCTAGGTATAACAGAATATTACAGGATTAAGAACTTTTTGTATAGCACTTTTAAACGTGATAGTATGCCCCATAAGCATGAACACTTAAAGTTGAGTGCAAAGTCTTGGTAGTTTGTGATGCAAGTTTGGCCTCGGTGTTCGGTGTTTCGAGAGGCACTGCCACTCAAGCAGTCTCAAGTTGCTTTCTGGAAGTGTTGTAAGCCTTACTGTGTGCAGTTGGCATTCAATACAGTACCTCATAATTGACGGACAAAAATTGGAGGAACAGGCAGAAATAACAGGCAAAACACTACAGAGGATCAAGGAATTCTTAACAGAACAAAACTGAGTTATTGTCCGGGATGCGTCAAGATGGGCAAGTGTGACTAGTGGGGTTCCACAAGGGTCAGTACTTGTACCAGTACTTTTTCTTGTTTGTGTGAAAGACATGACAGCAGAAATAGTCAGCCATCTCTGTTTACAGATGATTTAAAACTGAGAATACAAACAGGAGCAGACCAGGAAAGGCTACAAATGGATCTGCACAGACTGCAGGATTGGTCTGATTAGTGCCTATTAGAATTCAACCCTAGCAATGTTATGAAAATTTGGCAAGGTCAAAGAAACAGAATACAGGTTTGGGGACAAAGGCTGCAAACCTCCCTGAAAGAGAAGAACCTCAGTGTAAGCATAGTTCCTAATATTTCACCTGAGGCATACATCAACCAAATAAGTCACAGGAAACACAAGAATGGGAAATATAAGGGTAGCTTTCAGAAATCTTGACAAGGAGGTATTCACAACCCTCTATATGGCATATGTCAGGCTCATCTTGTATGCAGCACCAGTAGGGAACCTATATCTTGTAAAGTATGTTAAGACACTGGGAAAAGTTCAGAGGTTTGGAAAGAGACTAGATCCAGAGCTGAGGAGTGTTAGCTTATAAGAAAGACTAGTAGAGCTAAACCTGACAATATTAGAGGACAGAAGGGCCAGGGGTGACATGATTATGATGTAAGTTAGCTTAAAATAATATTTTAGCCTTATAGTGGTCAGAGGTTAAGGCTTGTGCAACCAGGAAAGTGAAGTCAGACTCAACCCTTGCAACCACAAACAGGTGAGAACCTCAGCCACCCACCTCAGCCCAGTAAAGTCACCTCAAGGGAAAAGCTGCCTACCTAGCAAAAAGGAGTATACCAGCAAAGTTCACTTGTTCCCTCTTTTCCCTCCCACAAAAAGCATCTTATTTTTGTGATTGTATGCAAGAATGTACTAGAGAACAACAGTAACAAAAAAAGACAATACCATAACTGGAACAATACACAAATAACCTGCACATAGAAGAGAGGAGCTTACGACGACGTTTCGGTCCGACTTGGACCATTAACAAAGTCACACTGTGACACTGTCACAGTGAGACTTTGTAAATGGTCCAAGTCGAACCGGAATGTCGTCATAAGCTCCTCTCTTCTATGTGTGGGTTATTTGTGTACTAGAGAACTCTAATCTCCAACTGTTTTTATGATGACTCTCAAAATTGTAATAACACGATTGCAAATAAACCACAGAATGGGTTGGGTTAGAACCCTTGGTGAGCGAGTTGTAAAACTGCAGGCCAGTGCATAAGCCACTGGGCCAGCTGGCTACAATAAGATTCACCCAACTACAATAGATTCATCCACTGTGACCACAAATGCATTTGTGGTCACAGTGGGGCTCATGCTAACCTTCCTATGGTGTATAAATATACCTAGTTGGATGAATCTTGTTGTAGCCAGCTGGCCCAGTTGGTTACGCACTGGCCTGCAGTTTTACAACCCACCCGCCATGGTTTATAACACCACATGTTCCGTGGTTACTTTTTATGATGGTTTGGGGACATTGATTTTTTTTTAAACCCTGTTTAAAATCATATGATTCATTTAACTTAAGCTAGATCTTGCCACAGCCTCAGTGGTGTGAGATTTATCTGTAAAAAAAAAAAACTTTCATCTTTAGTCACTGCTAACTTTTCTAATGCATAGTAATGTACTTAGTTGGATGACTTTTTAGACTGGCATGGTACAGTACAATGCTTTTAGTATTGGCCTGTCATTTTTAGGATGGCTTGCCATGGGTTTGAATTTTCTCTTCTGTGAATTGTTTACAATCATGTTATCACAATTTTGCAAGTTATGATGCTGTGTTTGTTTTGACAGGAATTCACACTACAAGAAGTTTTGACCGAGTCCGGCCTTGAGGTAATAGTATTGATTAAGGACCTGCAGCACCTGATGACAGCCACACTCACCCTAGATGCCTTCCAGGAAAAGCTACAGATTTTGCGTGATATTGTCCAGGTTAGTTCACTAAAGATATTGTAGATAGTGTTGAAGACTATTCAAAATACAATAGGGTCCCACTTATACGGCAGGTTATGTTCCAGACTACCGCCGCAAAGCAGACACCGCTGGAAAGCAGAACACCATTTTTTCCACTTATAAATGCGTATAAATGCCAGATAACAAGTTTACACCAACATATATTAACCCTTTGGGGGTCGACAGGTCCTCTCAGAGACTTGTTCTCAGGGTCGGCCAAATTTAAAAAAAAAAAAAAAATTCTTATGAAAAGATAGAATCTTTTCCCGATCATAATGACACCAAAAGTATGAAATTCGATGGAAAACTTACGGAATTATGCTCTCACGAAGTTAGCAGTCTTGATGATGTTTACACATCGGTGATTTTGCCCACTTTGAGCCCTATTTTCGGCCAGTTCCAGTGTACTAGTCGACAAAAATCATAACTATTTCGCTAGAACTCCATGTTTTCTATCGAATGAGTACAAGAAACTACCCATTTACCAATTTCAACTATCCAATAAAGTGGTCAGAATATAGCAATTTTGCCAATTTCACACAAATTTCAAAAGATGCCAATTTCCGAATAGGGTCCAGAATAAACAAGAAAGACATTCCTGGCACTAAAATAACAAGTTCTCTGTTCATTAGTCACATCCCTAGGCCCCTCTTATATTTCTTTGGCTTTCCACTTTGAATTTTTATTCTTACAAAAATAAGATTTACTGTTATGCAGGCTACTGCATTAGTGTAGAAATGGTATAAATAATATCAGCACACTTGTGAAAGAATATTAGACTCACCAGTTGATGTGTATTGGACGCTTGGCATGATTTGTTTACTGCTGAACTTTGGTAAAAATTGAACATATCTGCTACTTTGAGCTCAATTTCTCGGTACTTTTCATTGTAAAACCAGTCAAAATCATCTCAATTTCTGTAATATGTCTTCCATTCTACAAAATGAGACCAAAAAAACTAGAATACAAAAATAAATACCATACGAAAATACAGTGCAATGTCGCTGTTTTAACCCAAAAACCCTGTCAGTTTTTTTTTTTTCCTCATTACGCACTGTGTGCTGCAGGATTTTTTTTTATACTGTGCACAGTGACCACATAGACCCATTCTTACATATGTAGGCCTACCAGCTTTCTCTCATTAGATTTGAGGGCTCTAGAATTTAGGCGTACTAGTATGTCAAAAGCCTTGGGTCGTAAGACGTACTAGTACGTCCGAAACCCCCAAAGGGTTAAGTTAGCAATAGAACTAGGTACTAAAAAACAAAGTAAAATACACACACAGTACACTCATTATTTACCTTAAAATATTTATAGTCTTAATGTAGGGCAAACGGTGAGTAGTGTTTATTGTAAGAAGTCAGGTGTGGTAGGAATGGTAGCCTTCCTTGCCACCCCACCCACACATAATATACTACGATGCTTAAAGCGACCTCGAGTGATACAGTGCATATACAGTACACTCATTTCTTTCTTTAAAATATTTGTAGTCTTAATGTAGGGTGAGAGGTGAAAAGTATTTATTTGTGGGAAGTCGTGTGGGAGGTATTGTACCCTGCCTGGTCACTCCACCTACTACGACATTTAAAGCACCCTAGAGCGATAAAATGCGTATACGTACAGTACATTCATTACTTACCTTAAAATATTTGTAGTCTTAATATAGGGTGAGAGGTCAGTAAACGAATAAAAGAATAAACGAGAGGGAGAGAGAACAAGAACATGAGAGAATAGTAAGCTCGCAAGTTCTGTAAACAAACCACCCAGACACGTATGGTTTTAGTTCATTTCCTCAAGCCGCCTGGAAAAACATCTCGTATTTGTTAATTTATTTTACTGTGGATAAATTTATCATGTTTATATGTTATGTAGTGTGTTTATTATAAAATTTTGAAAAAATATCATAGATGAATTAAGCAAAATGTCTATAATGTTTTTATATGACATTTAATGTGCCTGAGTGATTATTATTGTGTTATTATTATTAATATGGTGTATTGAAGACTAATAAGACACTCTTAGTGATTTTTATGTGTACCTGCACGCCAGCACAATGTGTAAGTTTACTTAGGTGCAAGTACACATAAGTATAATTATCAGAGTACGTATATATAAAATATGAAATAACTTTAAAACTTGAAATTTTGGAAAGTTTCCAAACATAATGGAGAGATGCGGTGCTCACAGAGAATGTAAACAAACCAGGTGACACGTGACGTATTAGAAAGACAGGGAACTGTATATAGAGAGATTTGGTCATAATTTGAAATCGCCATATTAGCGGAATGCCGTAAGACAAAACACTGTAAAGCTGGGCCCTACTGTACTGTCAGCGATGGAAGGAGTTTTTTTTAATTTCCTTCATTTCCTTTATCTTAAATTTGGTCCATAGAGCAAATGTGTAATAGAATCATTCCTTAATTTTATTTTTAAGCCACTACCATTAACCCTTTCACTGTTGGGACCCCTAATTCTAAACTCGCTCTGTGTCGAAAAATATTTGGAAAAAAAAAAAATTTCATATCAAAATCTTAAGAATATTTTTGTGAGTTTTAAAAAAAAAAAAATTGTAATCAGTACTTACCAAGATATAGGGATGTGAAGTTGACAGAAAGTGAACTGCTTACGGCAACATCGGCGACTGCTGGTAATATTATTTTTACTTTTAGTCTGCTTTTTTTTTTATTTTTTAATTTTTTTTTTCAAGTAACTTTTGTGGCCTGTGAGACCAATGTAGTGTATAATGTATATATATATCCACTTGTTGTATGCAACACAATAACCACACAAACATTGTTATTATATTGTTAACAAAACATGTTTACACAAACCCACACTGCCTTCCTCACTACCCACACTGCCTTCCCCAACACCCATGGTGTCTTCCCCACCACCCACATGGAAATAAGTCACTTAGGCTTTTTTGGGTTATCTTAGGTAATCTACACACAAGCTGCTGTGTTTACACAAACCTACGCTGCCTTCCCCACTACTAATGCTGCCTTCCCCACCACCCACACTGCCTTCACCGCTACCCATGCTGCCTTCCCCACCACCCACATGGAAATAAGTCACTTTGACTTTTTTATGTTATCCTAGGTAATCTACACGTGTTACAAATTGGGAAGAGTCCCAATTCACTGGGAGTGAGGTATTCCTTACCACTAGGCTTGGTGACCAAGGCGTACTGAATTAGCACTCCTACAGTGTACTGTGGCCTGACTCATGAAATCGTAATGACACGATTGCAAACAAACCATACCCCAGCCGGGATTGAACCCGCGGTCAGAGAGTCTCAAAACTCCAGACCGTCGCGTTAGCCACTAGACCAGCTAGGACGAATCTTATTGTGGCTAGCTGGTCTAGTGGCTAACGCGACGTTCTGGAGTTTTGAGACTCTCTGACCGCGGGTTCAATCCCAGCCGGGGTATGGTTTTTTTACTGTGGCCTCCTCGATTTTTTTTTATACTGCGCATACTGACCACGCAGACCCATTCTCTCACATGTAGGTCTACCAGATTTCTCCTGCTAGATTTGGAGCCACTAGAATTTTGGCATATTAATACATCACCAACACTGGCTTGTAAGCTGTACCTGTACTGCACCGACAGTGAAAGGAGTAAATTGATACTACAGAAATGCAGGGTTATAAAATTTGTTGGTACATATACACTACATTTTGAAGTATGACAAACTGATGTGTTTAAATTTTTATGAACCATGTTGGACTTATAGCCTGTCTGCAACTTTAAGCTGTATGTATGAGGACTTTCCTGTCAATTTCTTGCTTAGTTTGCCTACCTCCCAGTTTTGTGAATGCTTGTTTTTGTACTCTAGTCAGCAACCTTAACAGGCACAGCTGACATGGGAAGGTGACAATCTCCATCAGTAGTTTATTAAACTCCCCAGAAACAGCTTCTGTATTTTGTTTTTGGGTTCTTACCAGCTACGTAGGAACTGTACCATGGACACCTAATATAACAATGTAGGAAGATGTAAACAGAAAAGCAGGAAACTCAAAGTACTCGACTGTTAATCTGAGTGATTTAATAAAACCACCCAGCTCAAAAAGAATCAATGGACAAAGGCCTACATCTTGTGTCTAGGAAGTGGCTTAAGCTTCTCCCCACTGTAGAGAAAAGCCCTCATCATTGTATGCAAACCTGGTCGTACTTAATACCCATTGTGCAACTTGACTGCTTTGTGTTGTCACGAGCAAATGCCTGGTCCCACAATGTCAGATCCCAAACCCCCATATTTGTAGACATCCCTAAATGGTAATTTTGGCAATGTAATCCATCTTATACTGATAGGCCATTTCATTCAACAATAAACATTTTTAAAATGTTTAGTTGTAGAAAGGAATCCTTGTTTAAAGCCCATGTCATATGAAATTGGACCTTAATAGGATGTGAACCTTGCTGGATTCTAACAGATGGTCACATTTTGTTCCCCAATATGCCAGTAAAAAGCAGGTATCGTGTTTCCAAGTACATGTTGGTATCTTAAGCTGTGTCAGAGAACAATCCCAAAATTCTGAGTGTTCTTTCAAGGAAATTTGAGTTGGTACTATCTTTGGGACCCTGGAAAGGATGACACAGTGATTGAAATTTAATTTTTATGCATTTTCCATTTAAAGTTGACCTTAAATAGTGATGTGCTCACCCATATGTACTCGCCTGTATGTGGCTGCATGGGTCAGGTCTTGGCTCCTGGCCCCACCTCTCAACTTGCCAATTACTCATTCTTGTGGCCTTATTGTACCTGTTCTTAACCCCTTAACTGTCCAAATGTAGATCCGTTCTTGCTGCTAGTGCTCTAAACATAAATCAGTGTTTTATTTTTCCTGCCTCCAAATTTGGCACGATTGGCCTGAGATGCCTGGTCAGTATAGAATGGGTCTTAACACTCGGTGTACGCAGTATTAAAAATAATCTGGGGCCACTTAGTACCTTGTGGGAGCACCAGTTCAATTCAAT